AATTATTTCATTTGTGTCACAAAACTTCAAAACTGAGAAGCAAATACACTAGTTATGCTTTTGCTGAATCACTGTGGGGATACTATTTAATTTCATTTTCAGTATTGTTGCACTGTAACTGTTTCATAGCTGGTCTCAGTACTCTGTGGGCTCTTACTGTATCACTCAAAGAGCACTGCTCTGTCATTTAATACATAGTTTTCTTTATTGCAGAAAAAGCAGCAGCAGCTAATGAAGATGAAGTGCAAAAAGCAGATGTATCATCTACGGGTCAGAGTGTCATCGACAAGGATGCACTTGGACCAATGATGCTTGAGGTGAAGAGCACAAAATTCCTTTATTTAAGCCAGTTCTGCTCCCCTTAGGAGGAAGAGCAGTGTAATGAAACGAAAAAGTGCAGTCGGAGGTCTCTGTAAAAGAATGGTCGAGAGACAAACCATCGTGGCTACTTAGGATTATGTCATTTAAGAGCAGGCAGCATATTTTGATTGGAATCAGTGATGAAACTCTCTCTAACTTGGCGTGGGGAGGGGCAGAGAAAAAGATAATTCAGCTGCTTTGTAACGCAGACAACTTGAGGGGCTTCAGTTGGTAGCAAGTCTTGGGTGTCTGCAAGTGCATGTTTTATTTGTTCTGAACCACGACAGATTTGGAAGACCTGTTGTACCTAAACATTGACTTACATATACAGTAGTATACACATGAATAATACTTCCTCTAAAATTGCATGTCATCGCTGTACTGTTTTAATGGTTTACCATTTCAGCACTTACAGCATGACTCTTGCCTCTAGAATGTGAAAGTAATCTAGGAGAGCTTTTCAAGCTGTGTATGTCAGTTTGTTCAGTTAAGATTTCTGTCTGATTTTAGCTGTTATTTTGATATCCCAAAAGGCTCCATGGTTAAAACCTAGCTTCTAAATGTATTAATAGTAATGTTGGCTAGGTATGTTATCTGGGATCCTAATGATATATGCTACTGTCCTTTGGCACTACTGCTTTATCTGCTTAAGCTCACTTGCAAACTGTTTATTCCTGTTCTGACTGTAGGCTTTATCTGAATGGATGAATAAATGTTACTTTAGATGAAACACAAATTCTGAATCAAGCTAAAGGAACCACCTTTGGCAGAAGCATAATTATGCTGTCATTTCTGAATGTTGCAGGAGCAAGATGCATGTTATAACAGTTTTAAGTATTTGCATTATTTTTCATGATTTGTTAGATGAAAACATAGTTTTCTGTAGTACGTACGAAATAAGGGTTCCAGAATCACAGTACTAAACATAAGGAAGATTAGACAGGTTGGAGTGAAATCATTCTTCTTTGAAAAGCAGGGGTAACAAATTAATTGATTTCATTTAATATTTATTATACATGCTCAATGAATTGAATGTTGTTTTTGCTATCAAACAACGTTAAACATCCATGTCTTACATTGCTATGCTAAAATTTATCTTTAACTTCCTATTAATTTAATTGTAAGGACCTGTTTTTATCACAGGGAAAATAAGGATAAGATTTTTTTTTTCCTGGCTTATCTTGCATGATTGGCTGTTGCAGCAAACATGACATGTAAAATCACCCGTCTGTTCCATTATTCCATTTAATTTAGTTTTCCTTCACGGTAAAACCATTGCATATTAACAGTGAAAGATTGTGGAACTAAATTAATAAACCGTGGTCCTTTTGTACCAAGAAACTTAAAAGGACTGAAAGTTGTTACACGTTTACTGTGAAAAGACTACAGATACTTTCATTGTGTCTTTATCTCCTTAAGGAAATGCAGTTATTTCATCTTTACAGAAGCCCTTCATACAACCTCTTCAAAAACCTACCCTTTTCCATTGCCAAATAATAATAAAAATGGCAATGCTGATGAACAGTTCATTAGTTGATTTGGTTTAGAAATGTAATTGTCTGTTTTTATTAAAGAATAAAACTGAAGAATCCTCAAAATAGTGAGTGTTTCCAGTTGAAGAGAGTGAGTAAAATTCATCATGCAGCTGCCTCTGAGGAATATTTTAACATATTTCTTGGTTGAAGCAGAAAGAAGATAGGAAGAGAGGGTGAAAAAATAGTCGAGAGAGCTGACAACAGCTCAAAGAGCACAAATGTATTTTCCATTCCAGTATATCATATAAAGTAATAACTGTTCTCTTGTTTTCTCTTCCAGCATGTTGTCCATTATTTGTTCCCCCATTGTACCAATAGCTCTGAAGAAAAGTTTTTTATTGTGGTAGCATGCATCTGGGGAGAGAATTAAGAAATTATTGCAAAAGTGGAAGCTTCTAAAAGATTTAAATGGCTTGGTGCCTTAACTTGCTCAAAAGCCTGCTGCTGCTTACCTACAAGATTATTTTATTAATAGAATAGAAAGAAATGGGAGTCTGGCATATAAAGCCCTGTGTTACTCTAGGCTCAGATGACAGCTTCTGTGGTCAACCCAAGAAGCAGCTGTGAGGAAACAGCCCAGAACACTTCCTTGCCAAAGAAGCTGCTGTAGTAGGAAAATAGTAGGGAAAACTGAAGATTATTGTGGGATGCCAGTAACTCTCATAATCTCTTGCTTGTGATCTCTGCCTTTGAAAGTTTTCTCCTTAGGACTCTGATAAACATCTCCTATGGCTTTGGTTTTTCAGTCTCTTTGAATTGATATAAGCATGGACTGCTGCCAAGCAGAATGGTTCAGCCAAACCCACACCCTTCTGCCAGCTCTAAATGCCATGTGGTTTCATGGTGGGCCAGTTCAGGGGACTGATGTGGCTAGCATCTTTTTTTTTTCCTTGCGTTAGGTTTCAGCCAACTCAGTTCTCTGGTGCAGCTCTTCATATCTTCAGACAGTACAGGGAGCTGTCATGGTGTAAAGAGGACTAAACCAAAGAGGTCATGCTTACATTGGCTTCAAGCGGTGATGAAATGCAGTCTAAGACACTAATCTACAGCAGAGATGCTGATAGAAAATTGTATTAGAGCCTCAATTAATTAAATCTTGTAAAT